ACACATAAACAAGTTAGCATGTCAGTTAAATAAGATTAAAAACAACAAAAAGTTACCTTCTTATACTGCCCGATAAAAAAAACTTGAAAAGCCAGAAAAGGTTTTCATGCATGTCATGCATCTGTGAGTATTAACTTTGCTTTCTAAACGTGATTGTAAGCAAGTTTGACGTGAAATAGCGTTTCATTTCGGTATTAGGCAGCAAAATACCGAAATGTCGGTATGTCGGTATTTTTAAATTGTCAATATCGCCAAACCGGTATCTAAACAAATACCGGTATATCGGATATATCCGGTATATCGATCCAGCCTAGGGCAGCATTACTGTGTTGACCATCATGGTCAAATTGCCCCAAAACAGTTGAGATTATCTGTCCTAAATGAAATGCATACAAACTCATATACGTACATGTCCTTGACTAACTACAATATTTAAAAATGTTCTCAATATTACACAAAAACAGCAATATTGCAAAAGGGCAATTATTTCAGCAGTATGGTTTATGCACTAATCAATTGAAACCCTGGCTTCTTGACCCCCGGGATATGGCAGGGAAATTAACATTTTGACACTTAAGCCTTAATAAAATATTTTTCTTCCTGGCAGCAGGCTTTCCTGACCAAACATTTCCTGCCAACTTTTTTATAAATATGAATTTTGGTTGTAATTCAAATTAACAGACAGTCGTAGCGCTGGCACATTATACAAGTTTGTATGTTATGATTGTTGTATTTATGCTCTAATTTTGATGTTTGTTACTTTAATGCTGATTTTTGAAATTTCTCGAACTTCATTCTTATACTATCTTGCTTTTCCTTAAAGAATTCCTGTGACATTAAAAAAATTTCCTGGTAGGATGCTGCCATGCTGGCGGACTTTCTCATCCCTTGTTGACAATGTTTAATTTCTGTAACTTCCTTGCTACCGGGGAAATATTGACTGTTAAAGTTACCGCCCCATGGCCCCAGCCCTTTGCAAATTTTCATGACTTGTGAAATGGGAAATCATTGAAGTATAAAATGTTCACAACATGTGAAGACTGTGAAGGCAATTTTTGATCTTAAACTTTGATGTGCATCAAAAGATACTGAATAATCTACGTTTCGACTATCTTGCAGTCATCATCAGGAATATATAAAAAGTGAAAATATATTCCCCCTTTTTAGGAAAACATTAGGAAACAATTCATTATGAGGAAACAATTCTCTGATTTCGAAGATTCCGCCCTGTTGCCACGAGGATAAACTCGTTCCAGTCCAGTTTCATATCAGCCGCGCATTAAAGTTTTGGTTATTGTCCTGGCTAACAAATTATTAAATTGACTTGTTATTTGTCCTGTACCTGGGGAAAATGGTGCATTAAATCCGTGTTAATCCACGGACATTTCCCCGTTAATTCCCCGCCCTGTCCCGGGGGTCGGGTGGCCGCGGTTTATACTAGTGCATTACACTACTGGATCCCAACTTAAGTTGGATCCCAACTTAATACAGTCACATTCTTCCTTAGGGATGTGCCGGATCCAGATATTGGTAGCTAATATCTGACAAAATATAGACATCGGGCACTATCCAGTATCCTTTAAAATTTGCTGGATATTATTGGAACTTTTATGATACACACAAATCGTTTGTCTTGTGTTAAGATATTGTGAAACACAAACAACTAGTCTACCGTACATGTCACACATTTATATACTGCTCTCTGCTGTACGTATATTGTCTGATGTTCCTTATGTGCCACGTACTAAACAGACAGTGGAATGGATTATTTTATGACAAATAGTTAGTGATGTATTGTCCAAGAACCACTATCAGTATCTAGGCTGACGTGATCCGGTGATTGATATATTGACTATATGGAATAAAAATATCGATAATGTTGACTATATTCATTTGCATTATGCAAGTTAGACGTATTTTAGTCATCTTGCATGTTTACCTCATCACAATTAGTCAAACATTAAAGGATTTATTTACAACAGTTTATGAATATTAGTGATGGGCGATACCAAGTACTCGGTATTCGATACCAGCGATACCACTAAGTCATGTATAGAAAATATTTATTACGTTTCGGGCTTTCGGTTAGTCTGCGAACCCAAACGTCATTTGCGACGTTAATTCTTCGCTTGGAAAATAACCAAGCAAAGGGTGAGCGTCGGAAATGACGTCTGGGTTCGCAGACTAGCTTTTCGTTTACTTATAGCTTTATTTAGGTTACATACAGTAATGGAAAAAGTTTTTTCGCTGACCGACGGGTATCGAAAGTAGCCGATACTGAAGGGTGATTTCCACTGTTGCGTTTTTCATACGTACGTATACGCACGTAAAACTTTAAATCCGTTTAAATGTTACTTATGAAATAACCATATAAACAAAGCAACAGAATTTAGTGTTCCGCAAGTTTTAGTATGCATTTGTTAACTTATTAGTAAAATATGTCAAAAATAGAAGGATTCAAAGTTTTACGTGCGTGTACGTGCGTATGAAAAACGCAACAGTGGATATCAGCCTTAACAATTTGAGTATTCACTTCCGGGATCGCAATTTGAATTTTTGTGCTTATTTTGGTATCGAAATAGATATCGGTATCGACCGGTACCGGTCTTAAAAGTATCGGTATCGAATTAAAAATCCTGGTATCGCCCATCACTAAATTGAATATTTAACCAGGAATTCACGGGCTCAAACTCCTGCTGGCGGGACGAATAGATTAGATGATCTGGAAAGTGTTTACAATCCGTCATATATCTAAACTATCCTTTTATAATCACAAATGAACCAAACAAGGTATTTTTATCGCTATTTGTTGTATTTGAGTAAAATGTAAACAATAACAAAAGCCCGCAATGCATGACCCTAACACTAATCCTTTAAGATTTATTAACAAGCTTAATGGTTTTGCAGTTCATACAATTGTTTGCCTTGTCAAGCTATAACACTGCTTGCTGGAATTGCACAATAATTGCGAAAGTAAAGGAGATTAAGTTATCTAGTTAAAACGTTTGATATTTTCGATATGCGAGAAATCAAATATTGCAGGGCTTTATCCAAGCACTTTTGCTGCGCCCCGTTTTAGAAAAGAAGATTCAATTTTTGTGACGCACGAATGTAGCCCTAGCTAGGGGTCTAGGGCAAAGTCCCTGAAAGCTTTTTCTATTTCAGCATCTTGAAGGCTGCTCAATTTACAGTTCGGAGTATACAGTATACTTCCGATTTTTGCAACACTAATTAAATCGAACCTAATTGTCACATGACTGTTATGACGGTTACATGACTGTTCTGGCTGCTACTACTTTTGAGTAGGGACAGTCAGAACAGTCATGTGACCGTTTTCGATTCGTTTCAATTAGTGTTCTGAAAATCCTGAGTACTCCGAACAGTAAATGGAGCAGTCTCTTAGACTATGTTGCCGTCGCGTTGCTTGAATGTAACATGAATGACGAAATCTTATGTAGACATTGCGCAATAGGAAAAAGGCCATGCGTCGATGTACTCGTATTCGAGCGTATTTTTTCTGCGGCTTTTTCACTCTTCCATGGAGCTCAAGGTTGCGTAAATTTTAGATTTTAGTTGGAAAAATTTTCTTTCTATTTGTATAGTATTTGTTATCCTTCAATCATCCCATTTCATTTTGTGCTGATTTGATCGAAATATTTATCAGAAATCCAAACATGCATGCCATCTAAGCATGGTGGGCACAAGACAAAATATACGATAGAGGTAGCTTTATAACATAAACATGTCGTTTTATTTTGAAAAAAAACCACCTCAAATAACCCTGTTTCTCTGAATTTCAAAGACTAATTAAAGCGGGTGAAAATGTTTTTTTGATGTGTTTTCTTTTCGTTGGGGGAAAGATTCAGTTTAAAAACTCAATCCAAGATTGAGTTTTGACCTTCATTTACCGGAGGTCAATTAAATTGGTGTTTGGATAAAGGCCTGAAATTTAATTATCAACATTTTTGAAATATCGATATTTGTCACAAATATCAGTATATGGCATCAGCCTATCAGTATCCAGTTATTATCCAGTTGACTACACACCTGGTACCATCGGTATCAGGCAAAGCAGTATGTGGCACATCGCTAATTCCCCCTATTCAGGAACATGTAACTGTTAAGGAGTGAAGTAATTGTAAGCCCTGGGATAAGTCTTCAGGGGTATGCAAATACTACTTATTTGAGTATGGATTTTTCTGAGGCTTGGTATTTCCCGAGTGGAATCATTGCATATTCCACCACAGATCTTTGCCATACAGAGAGAACTCACTCGCTTTTTCCCACCAGCATATACTATCAACGACTTAAAAGCCTAGTGTAAACAATGTTGGTAGATTGATGTTTAGAAAACTCTTTAAATTAGCGAAACACTTACAAGTGACCATGTATCGCATACTGTATTTGTGAATGATGTTACTTCAGATCTACTCTTTTGACTACGGGCAGTTGGTTTCATTTAGGATGGTGCATCACATTCAGACAATATTCATTTCATTGGATCGTTCCAAAAAAATCCACACTCCCACCCCCCACTCACACAGAGTAAATTTCTGCAAAATTGTTTCTGATTATAGTAAGTGTATTAAGACATCCAAAGTGGGTAGGGCCGTTAATTTCCAATTTCCTTCGTAAGGGAGGGTGAAGGCTATTTCAGATACGGTAGAGCACCTAGTCCCCAGGCCTTTACCGGCGCGATCGCGAAATTTAATATGGCGCCAAGCTAAGGAGTGGAGTTTAAATGGAGTTTATATTCTATATTTTCTATAATTGTTGTTTTTTTATCTTTTTATTCTTTTTGGTTGGTAGGACTTATATTCTGAAATGCCAGGTATCATACTCTTTATCTGAAAAAAGATTTTACGACAGAATTTTTCTCAAACATAGTTAAAGTTATAATGTATTAAAGTCTGTACGGATATACTGAGTGAGTGTGAGTTGTTCATTTAACAATGAAATCAATTTAGACTATTTTACTCAAGTTGGTAAGCTACGATTAAATAACTACTTGGCTTGATGAATATGATATTACTTAAACAGGATATAAATACATGCCAATGTGTGGTCACAATTGCATTAACAGCATTCTAATAGGCTGAGTATTAGCAGTTTTAAAAAGTTAAACTGCCAGACGTACGATATTTTATCATATAATTGATATAAATTATAAAAAGTAAAGTGCTATACCTGAATAGTGAACAATATTGCTTCCATTTTCACCACCACACTCACAATTACCTTATAAATGTGAGAATGGTCGAGAATGCCATGTCGACATTCCAATTAACATGGGCAAATTTGTTTAAACAACGTACACTGCAACAAATCATGATACAGACAAGCACATCCTACAGTATATGAGGCTTGCTAAGATGTGTAACAAACATTATTCAACATCAAACAATTTAGTTATTGTCACATAAAAGAACACATAGTGGAGTAAAACCTTATATGGATATCATATCTGTAAAGAATTCAGATATTCAAGTACTTCAACAAGACATAAAAGAACACATAGTGGAGACAAACTTTATGATCAGTCTCATGTTTGTCATTAACAGTAGGGTGTAATGGACTAAGGGGCGGACCTTTAGAAAAGTGATGGGGGGAGCAAAAATAAAAATCGAGCAGGGGAAACAGAAAAAAATACTTGTGCACCAAAAGTTTGAAAAAAAATTCGTGCAGAGACTTTTCAATAGGGAAAATTATAATTTGAGTTGTTGTTATAAGTTTACTATCAGGGGGAGAGGCAGAGGAGGCAATTTGCCCCGGGCCCCCAGTGTAAGGGTGCCCCCCAAATTTGAAAATAAAAAAAAATTTGGAACGTTTTTTGATATAAGTAATGGTGTGAGAAAAAATTTCCTAAACCTAAATCTTGCAGATATTGGTGCAAAAAAGGGTTTTAAGTATGTTTTAACAAGAATATGTCGGGGAAAATTTTTTTCAACCTTAACTTAATCGATGTTAGCTAGTTTTTTCAAAACAAGTTTTGAAAAAATAATCGTACAGGTTGGAAATGTCCTACACCCCCACCCATCACTTTTGCAAACTATTAAAGACAGCTGGCAATGTCACATGTAACACAAGGCCGTCAGAAGCGGAGGGCTTGACCTCCCCCCTATAATTTCCATTTGTTTAAGCAAAACACACGAAATAACTAGAAAAGTGCAAAAGCAATTAAATTTTATTCAAATATATTCTTGAGTCCCCCCAATATTGATTTATTTGCGATGGCCTTGTAACATCCTGCCCAGATTTTTTAAATTCTATAAGGTCCTGTATACAAGGTTAATACCCGATTGAATAACTTGCACACCTGACACCACTATAAAGAAAAATGGGCCGGTCCTTGCTTGTGCCGGTTAAAAGGTAAGCATGAGCTACTAAGTGTGTTAGCTTATTTAGTTCATGAAACAAAACAATTAGGAAAGTAGTAAAAGAGGACAGATTAGTTGTGAATTTGTTTTTTTTGCTACTTCACGATGTTCACCCAGTATGAAATGAAAAGGTAGTGCACAACCTGTGCAGAGTCCATTTCGCATGTTGGCACACAATTTAAAATTGTATATTGTTGATTATAATCATAATCCTTTTGGCAATGGTAGATTCAGCCAGGTTGTTTTGGGGGCATGCTAGGTTATATACAACATCTCAAATGCTCAGAGGTATGGTAAATTCAATTTGTAGCGCCCCCACCCCCTTTCGATTTTTACACTCCCCTATTGGCAAAGCTGTGTACCTCTGCCAACCCCGTCCCCTCCCCTTATAAACCCAACTGTATGCTGGGATGGATTTACTGGGGGGGGGGTGCACCCCCATAGCCCTGGCCAGGGGGTGCAAAAAATGATAAAGCAAAAAATATTAGAGACAAAATGAGATACAGTGATTTGAGTGATAACATGATAATAAGCAAACTGTGAACAACAATTACAATTCAAATACAGCAGTCAAGCAAGACTTGACTTGTAAGTTGATGGGCGGGTGGCGTACATGACCAACATAACTTGGCACTAGAGCTGGCAGATCAAAACACCCCCCCCCCCTACCAGATCATGCTGGATCCATTCCCGCCACCATAACTGTTAGTGTTGGTGCTAATTAAACAGTGCCATTGTGAACGGTCTGTGCCAGGCTAGATAGAGACGCTAACAAGATAACTGTAGATTTTGAGAGATAGAACTTAGTACCTGAAAAATTCAAACAAAACTTTACTTGAAAAGTCAATAATTTGTACATTCCGTATGGATGTTCAAGCTCTGTGGATTATGGAATATAAACTAGGCTGTTATTACAATTTTCAAAATTGAAGTTGAAACTGTAATTAAGGGGCCTTCAGTCAGTTTTTAGTCGAAAAGCCACCTGAAGTAATTGTTTACATTTTTTGTTATTGTCGCTACTTGACATGCGCACCACGGCATGCATGCGTTTTCCGGTGTGCGGAAGTACTCATACTCGTGGATACTGCATGTAAGATACAGCCAAATGAATCTCCGTGGAGTCTCCTGGCTTTTCGACTAAAAATGACTGTAGGGCCCCTTTAAGAGCGTGTGTCTCTAAAAACCGCCCACTGACTTAGGGCTCGAAAAATAAATTTCTTCGAAACTTTTACCGTGAACTACATTTACTTTCACAACAAACAAATGCTGTTTGGAATTTTGAAAATATATTTAGTTTCAAAGTTTTAGCAATTTTTTGGTCTCGCAGGGTCGCGGGAGAAATTCGCCGGCTAATTAAACGAAAAAATGGTCTGAATTTAAATAAACATAATTTCAAAAGTTTTTGTTCAAAATTTCTGATATTCACACCCAGCACCGGAAAACTATCGTAATTTCATCTAAACTAACTTAGGTTTTCAATTACAGAGCATTTGTGACAATATTTAGCGACAAAGAGCGCCATGTCAAAATATGGCTTTCAAATCCTACTATTTTCTATGCTGAATTTCTTAAAAGTGGGACCTAATTACATACAGTGACTAGTATAGTTGGAAAAAGGACACTTTTAAGCACTAAAAACCGTAATAAAACTCGTCTGCAAACGCGATTTGAACAATTGAGAGCGTTTGAAATTTGATACTATTTATGGCCTTTTATTTACATTAGAATGTTGCTGAGGTCAGACGTCTGAGTTCATGTCACTGCTAAAATTGCGCTGTAGTTCTGCCAAATAACCTTTCCCTCAAATAAGTTTATATCACTCTTGTGCTAATCTATATTTCTTTGTTTATGTCCACCGTAAGTGGTTCCAAGGGATTTAAAATAGTAGGCATGTTAAAATAAACAACTTGACAAAATTAATATGCTACTCGGGGGAAAAGCCCGCATGCAGCGCGAATTCTATATGTGGCACATGCTATATTTAGAGTTTGCGTTGCAGCATAC